TGATTTGTTTTAATCGGCAGGGCTCCACATAATGTTTCATGATCAGGAGTACGTACTCCTTTTTTTTTCAATATAGGAGTACTGGAATACCGTAAGAGTACATTTAGAGTACTGAGTGGAATTTAATGGCGTATCAGTCATCTTGTGTTTCGTTTCATATATGCACCACAACATTGCTACTCTTGTGTAAAGAGGTCAATGAACAATAAAATAATACTTGTTCAGATAAATACGTCTGTAAATGATTCTAAGACCATACACCATTGCTGTGGTGCGTATCTGCTACGTTTTTAAAATTGTTTCCTACCGTATTTTATATCCGTACATACGCCGATATGGCCCTTATCTGGAGCCCTGAATCGTATCTTACATGGCAATGCAGGTGTCTCATTTACTGCAAATCAGAATGTTTTCAAATATGTACATATCTATATCTCTCCAACAAACGTTTTCTCAGTTAACTTCTGTTGTACATATGCTATTATTGGGAGGGGGCTTTTTTATCAATAAACACAATCAAACCTCTCAGTGACAAACCTGTTTTATATTCGATAGTAATTGATAGTAAAAACAATTTTGAGAAGAGAAATAATTTATCATTTAATCACAACAAAGTTCTATTTACTTACAATCAAACTTCTCAGTAGCGAGCCTGTTTCAGGCTCACTCTGCTCTACTCACTGGACAGTGGACTGTTCCATTATACCCGTAGGTGTTACCTTCTAGTTTAGTGTCTGTCAAATGGGTGTCTGTCAAATGGGAGATAACCAACCCGGATCTTCAGCTTGACGAGCGAAATATATATTGGACATGAGACGTGTGTACACTATTTTAGTCTGTCATACAGACCCTGAAGCAAAAATATCCTAGAAGACCCACGCAAGTCTAGAAAATGTGGCAAATCTAGATTTCCACAGCTTCATGAAGAAATTCTCTGGGCTCCATTTCATTATATTTATTTTTTGTACTATGAACTTTTTTTCTGCAATATACGTTCATGTCAGAGACTAGCTGTTAGTTTATGTGTACACATGAAATACCGGAGTGGATGTGACCCATGTCGCTGGCATATATACATCAAGAAACAATTATATCCATGAAACAGTCTAAAACACCGACATCAGTAGCGACATATTAATTACCGAGTCAGTACATGTCTATACACATGATAGGTGATGGAAACCAGATCTCAGAGCAAGCTGGAACGGTCCGAGTCAGCAAACACAAGGCCAAGATACGATCGATATTTAGCGATTAGTATGTGTGGAGGAATATGAGGAATATCAAGTGTGAATCTTCCACATACATAATACCCATATGCACAAAGCTTGGCTTAGAGGATATCTTATCTTCCCCATTATAAACCCGTGAAGATCCGGGTAAGAAATTACCTTCAGTAACCCATATACACAAAGCTTGGCTTAGAGGATATCTTATCTTGCCCATTATAAACCCGTGAAGATCCGGGTAAGAAATTACCTTCAGTAACCCATATACACAAAGCTTGGCTTAGAGGATATCTTATCTTCACCATTATAAACCCGTGAAGATCCGGGTAAGAAATTACCTTCAGTAACCCATGCTTGTCATAGAAGGCGGCTAAAGGGATCGGGTGGTCAGGCTCGCTGACTGGGTTGACACATGCCATTGTATCCAAGTTGCGTAGATCGATGCTCATTGCTGTTGATCACTGGATTGTCTGGCAAGTCTAGATTTCCACGAAGAAAGTCTCAGGGCTCCTTTTCATTATATTTTATATTTTCACTTTGAATTTTTTTTTCTGTTAAATATTTTCATTTCAGAGACTACTTAACTGTTAGGCTACATGCACCGTTGTGGCAGGCGTGTTTAAAACAAAAGAGAGTATCTAAATTTTCCATCTTAATGTCGGAACTCCGTTTCCTGGCGAGTCTGTGTTGTCTGGGTGGCAGGAGATCGGACCAGAAGCAATCAAACTGTGAGGGAAGTGTCGCTTGTGACATTTTAAAGACCACGTAAAGCATTCGCGTCACCTGACGTCATATTCTGGGACAAACCACATAGCTATGGAAGAGTAAGTGAGTGAGTTTGTTTAACGTCGCTTTTAGCAATATTCCAGCAACATCACGGCGGGGGACACTAGGGCTTCACATATTGTACCCATGTGGAGAATCGAACCCGAGCTTCGGAGTGACGAGCGAACGCTTCAACCACTAGGCTACCTCACCGCCACTGGTTATGTAAGAATGAGAGGGTTAATGAATCGTACTGCTGAGGCATCCAGTGTGTTTGTAGTTTCGACAGGTTTGAACGAAGGCAATTTTTGATTACGGCGGGGCAGTGGGGTAGCTTAGCGGTTAAGGCGTTCGATCGTCAAGCTGAAGACCCGGGTTCGATTCCCCACATGGCGGTACTATGTGAAGCCCATTTCTCGTGTCCCCCGCCGTTACATTGTTGGAATATTGCCAAAAGAGGCGTAAAACCAACTCACTGTTCTTGCAGCAAAATACCTGTCCGGCATTACAGGGGTAATACATAGGTATAAATGAGTCCTATATTCGATCATATTGATGTCTAGCATCGTCCCTATGCTGATTCATCCACACATTCGCTCATAAAAATAGAGACTGGGTTACCGTCTACAAAGCTATTTCGAGAATGTTTGTTGGTTCTGTCTCGTCGCCCAGGTCAAAATACCCACAATGCATTAAATAGACAGTGACCTTGGGAGCACATGATTAAGGAACAAATATTGTAGACATCTTCCGGCTTGGTCACCGTGAGCAGCCCGGCGATCCTGGCTGAGTTTGATAACACACAGGTTATAATCGGACAATCTTGATATTTTTGTCGATTTGGAAGACAGCCAACGGAAGGTCGTTCGCGTTTATCTTCTGGGTTTCGGGAACCTGGCATGTAATGGACATTGTTTTCCTGACAATGTCTGTATAGTCTGTCCTTATTATTAATGTAATGAGCCGATCTTGTCAAGTTGGTTATGTAAAGACCTACAGCGCCCAGATCTTACTGCAACCCAGACTGTTTGAGGTTCCTTACAACGGCCGTTAAAAGAACACATTTTGATTTGCAATATTTACATTTGGGCAACCTGGCAAAACTCTGTCCTTGCTATTGACAGAAACAAGCAAACTGATGAAAAGAAAGTGAAGGTACAATCACGATATATCTTCATACTCAATCTTGATAGCATATAGTTGATAAACTGATGCCCTTTGTATTGTCCGCCATCCCGCCTGAAGAGCTACCTTAAGCGGGGTATCATTGCCGCGCACTGGGTCTCTGGCGTCCATTCTCCTTTAGATGTTCAATGTCCAGTCCAGTGTTCATATACCCTCTCGTCGAAGACAATCGGCACTGACCTTGGCACGATGTGATCCTTTTAGTATGGTCATCCTGAAGATCAGATTTTTGCCGAGAATTCCAGAGAATGAAACAACGACTGGACGCAGATTTCGTCAAGATACTGCTGGCCAGTCAACTGTCCTTTCAAAATAACTAAATCAGTTCGCATGCAGTCGTGAGTGAGGCCACGCCACATCACGACACTGCTATGGCGATCATGGTTAAGAACGCTTGCCATTGCATACCGCTTGCCGCTACGTCGCCAGCAACGTTAATTTTCTCTCATCTGGGAATCGGAGTGAACACCTTGATTCGTCAGGAAATATATTGAACTAACCAACCATATCCTTGACGTCAGTAAATATAGTGTAACGCTATTCGTGCACAAATTGTGCGTAGTGCACTACCCACTCCTATCCTGGATGTCAATGTTAGGCGATATAGAAGTAAGGCGTGTTACCCACAGCCAGTTTGTAACTGCAGGTTTTGAAATTCGCCTTCCTGTTATTGTACGCGATTCTCTGTTGACAACGGGAGCAGATCGTAATCCTGCGTAGTGAATTTAATGTAGTGAGCCGATCTTGACAAGTTGGGTATGTTTTAGACCAACCACACCCCGATCTTATTGCAACCCCAACTGTTTGAGGTTCTTTACTACGGTAGAGAAAAACACTTTTTTGATTTGCAATACATTCGGGCAACCTGGGATATTCACTTCCCCTCCTGTATCGAATCAACAGTTCGTTTTGTTTGTTGGTTCATTGAGATATTGTCTTGGGGGCATTTTGAAGCGCGTGCTTTGCTCAGTTGCTTAAGTTCCCTTATAGACGCCTTGGCTTCTGTGTGCATGTGCATTCCGTGCGGTTGATGCTCGTTGTTCCCTTGTCTTTTGTTGGTGAGGTGAGGTGAAATTGGGTTTAACGTCGTGCTTGAGAATATTTCGCTCATATGACGACGTGCATGCGTGTGTATGTGTATGTGCGGCTGCTTGTACTAGCCCAGACTTAAGCTGGTTTTATAGGGCTAGCCAACTGAGATACCATGCCGCAGTGAAGCATGAATACCCCACTCAGACACATTATACTGACTCCGAGCCGACCAGTCCTTGTTGTACCCATTAATGCCGAGCGCCAGGCATTTGGCGCATTAACGTCTTTTGGTATGACGCGGCCGGGGATCGAACCCGCGACCTTCCGCTCTCCGGGCGGACGCTCTAACCACTACACCACGGAGGCGGTCTCTTTTGTTGGTAGTACAGATCAATTTTGGACTTATGTTATCTCAGTATCTGGAGAAATCATTTATACAGTGTACGAATGTTTCACTACACAAATATAAAACCCACTTGATTTCTTTTTACAAAGCGGCGTAACTCTGCACGTACCTTTGTGTTGCCATGACACTGACAAGAGACATATTTTAAGGTATTAATCGTTGATTTATAAACATAATGATCTGTCACTGGTCCATACAAAACAACATAAATCCCATTAAAGCCGGACCGTTTTACTTAAGACGCAGAGGTGTCATATCGGAGTGTAAGACCGAATTTCATTTAGATCGAAGGGATATATGCCAGCCGACGTCCGATAGAATTCATGAGAAAATAATATTTCTACACATGACATAAACAAAATAAACAAAGTACAGGTACTTACTTTCACATTCATGTGTTGTCTACCTGAGTGTATAAATGTTGGATACAAATTCTGAAATGAATCAGGTTCGTAAGAAGACCCCCGTCATCTACTTCCTTCGATGAGATGAATGCTGTGATAAAAGGAATAATGTCATTTCCTCCCGACAATCCGGATTTCAACATACGTCTGACGTTTAATTCAGCAGCACTCTGTCACTTGATTCATTGCAAGAGCCAACACAAGCTGAATGAAGTAGTATATTACGACACTGCCGATTAATTAATTAACATTTCAAGGAAGTAGAATAGTCACGACTCACGATGACGTCAAACTGAGGTGAAGTATTTGAAACCCCGGAGCTGTAATATGCTAGGTGCAGGTAGTTGTACGACTGCTTCGATTATCATTAAATGTGTGAGTGAGTGAGTTTTGTTTTATGCCGCACTCAGCAATATTCCAGCTATATGGAGGCGGTCTGAAAATAATCGAGTCTGGACCAGACAATCCAGTGATCAACAGCATGAGCATCGATCTGCGCAATTGGGAACCGATGACATGTGTCAACCAAGTCAGCGAGCCTGACCACCCGATCCCGTTAGTCGCCTTTTACGACAAGCATAGTCGCCTTTTATGACAAGAATGGGTTGCTGAAGACCTATTCTACCCCGGATCTTCACGGGTCGATTATCATTAAAGAAATTATTATGTACACAACGAGTCAAGTTAATAGTACTATCAACCACAGGTTCTCGGGTTTTTTTAACTTTTATATCAAATATTTAAAGAGCCTCAACTACACCAAAAATATCAGTCACACTTATCCTTGTTTCACTTGACACTTCAGTCCATTTCAGGTGCTGATCTTGATTTCAAGTGGGCAGGTGGGCAATACGGAAATACAGATAATTACGAACTGGATCACGTTGAGTAGAAGTGTGTTTCGTTTGTTGTTTTACGCCGCACTCAGCAATATTCCAGCAATATGGTGACGGTATGTAAATAATCGAACATGGACCAGCCAATCCAGTGATCAACAGCATGAGCATTGATCTAGGCTGTTAAGTAGAAGCTGGACTATCCTCCAAAACACTCAGCCCCCATTTTCAAATGCGATCTTAGCACTATGGTGAGATTAAACCTTCCAAACTTCAACATAGGCTCACGATCATCATAGCTCTGTGTGGGGCGGTGGGGTAGCCTAATGGTTAAAGCGTTGGCTCGACACGGCAAAGACCCGGGTTCGAATCCCCACATGGGTACAATGTGTGAAGCCCATTTCTGGTGTCCCCCCGCCGTGATGTTACTGGAATATTGCTAAAAGCGGTGTAAAACCAAACTCAGTCAGTCATAGCTCTGTGATCGATTTGTAATACGAGACATGGCTACGTAGTCTATTTCCTAGACTAACGCTTATAGTCTCCGAATGTATACAATTTTGACAGAAACAAATAGTTCATTTTAAATTATTAACAGGAGAGCTTGAACCTTTGAAATTCAAAATCTAGACTTGCTTCGTTTATGGCCTTAGCATTGCAGAAAGGTGAGGTGAAATTGGGTTTAACGTCGCGCTGGAGAATGTTTCGCTCATATGACGACGTGCATGTGTGTGTATGTGTATGTGCGGCTGCTTGTACTAGCCCAGACTTAAGCTGGTTTTATAGTGCTAACCCACTGAGATACCATGCCGCAGTGAAGCATGAATACCCCACTCAGACACATTATACTGACTCCGAGCCGACCAGTCCTTGTACCCATTAATGCCGAGCGCCAGGCTGGGACCAACAAGCACCATATTTTAACGTCTTTTGATATAACGCGGTCGGGGATCGAACCCGCGACCTTCCGCTCTCCGGGCGGACGCTCTAACCACTACACCACGGAGGCGGTCGAATTGCAGACAGGGCTGAGTGTAAGGGGAAATAATATGGTTCAGGGATTGTGATTGTCACGCCAAAGATCGGGTTTGACTCCTGAAATGCAAGTTACATTACGGGAAGCAAATTTCTGGTGTCCGCCCTCCGTGATGTAGTTGGAATATTGCTGAATGAGTGAGTGAGTGAGTTTAGTTTTACGCTGCTTTTAGCAATATTCCAGCTATATCACGGCGGGGGACACCAGAAATAGGCTTCACACATTGTACCCATGTGGGGAATCGAACCCGGGTCTTCGGCGTGACGAGCGAAAGCTTTAACCACTACGCTACCCCACCGCCCCTATTGCTGAATGAAAACACCTGTCCTCACGTCGCTAGAAGAGGGTATGACATTAGGGTATGACATTAGGGTATGTTCATTGCATGCTTGTGTCTGCAGACATGACGGTTGACCTTGGCGGTAATTGAGTAGATCACGAGATGCTGGCATGTTTATTAGCGTTGGAGATCTTGACACAATCCCTCTCATTCCAACTAGAACTAGATGTTGTTAGATGACATTTTTGACCTTTGGCAAATCTGGTTTCCCCGACAGAGCAATTTATGATGACATGAGGAAATACCTTAACTGATTCCTTAATGGGGCAGGCATACTGTACAGGCTACACCTGTACCGAATTAGATTATACTGACAATATCTCCACTGTACAGTTGGGCTGTATCTATTCTTTATAATATACAAGGTAATAGTATATCTACACTGTGTAATATATCAGATATAGCAACATGTATACCTGTATTATAGTGACTATATTTATATCATGTATACAGTTTATAATATACCTGACGAATCAACATCCTCTCTACCATTTTTTTTTATTTATTTATTTTTTTTATGATAGCAAGTGATACAATATCCTCTATACCTAATATGACAGTATCTGTACTGTATAATACAACAGATATATCAATATCATGTATGTCTACAATATACTGGCTATATTGTTACTGATACATATACCAGGTATATCAATATAGTGTACACCTAAACTATACTGGCAGTATCCACTGTATAATATACCAGCTATACCTGTATAGCCTATACTACGACAACTGTACCTATACTGTATAATATACCAGCTATATCAGTATAGCCTACACTTCACCAACTGTATCCACACTGTGTAATATACCAGCTATACCAGTTTGCCTATACTACACCAACTGTATCCATACTGTATAATATACCAGCTATACCTGAATAGCCTATACTACACCAACTGTACCTATACTGTATAATATACCAGCTATACCTGTATAGCCTATACTACACCAACTGTACCTTTACTGTATTATATACCAGCTATACCAGTTTGCCTATACTACACCAACTGTATCCATACTGTATAATATACCAGCTATACCAGTATAGCCTATAATATACCAGCTATACCAGTATAGCCTATACTACAACAATTGTATCCATACTGTATAGAGCCAGGTGAAAGCAGTGTAAAAGAGGCACTATGTTTACTGTGTAGGTATATACATGTAGGTCAGTGGCCAGTCACGACCTGACCCCTCCAGTCAACAAACAGGATACAGATGCTGGTGAACCCTGAGATAGTAACAGCTACCTTTCACCAACACCCAGCCACAGGTCAGTAACTGTGTAGGGTAGGACAGGGCACTTGGGCCAAGTTAGACTAATGCTTATGCAATTATGCATTGTTACTGATAACTATCATACATTATCGATAACTATCATACAACATAATAGATAACTATCATACAACATTATCGATAACTATCATACAACATTATTGATAACTATCATACATTATCAATAACTATCATACAACATTATTGATAACTATCATACATTATCAATAACTATCATACAACATTATTGATAACTATCATACAACATTATCGATAAGTATCATACAACATTATTGATAACTATCATACATTATCAATAACTATCATACAACATTATTGATAACCATCATACAACATTTTCGATAACTATCATACAACATTAACAATAACATTATTGATAGCTATCATACATTACTGATTACTATAATTTCAGATTACTGATAGTTATAAAACATTATTGATAATGACCATCCAACATTATCAATAACTATTATACATTATTGATAACTATTCTACAACATTACTGGTAGTTATAATACATTACTGATAACTATCCTACAACATTACTGGTAATTATCATACATTACTGATAACTATCCCACAACATTACTGGTAATTATCATACATTACTGATAACTATCCCACAACATTACTGATAATTATCATAGATTACTGATAACTATACTACCACATTACTGGTAATTATCATACATTACTGATAACTATCCCACAACATTACTGGTAATTATCATACATTACTGATAACTAGGGGTGTCACGATACACCAATCTCACGATACGATACGTATCACGATTTTAAGGTCACGATACGATACGTATCGCGATACATAATTTTCGCGCCTTTTCATAGCATTACCTTACCGGCAACGTACGCGCTCGCTGATTGGTCCATCAAAATAGTCTAGCCAATCACAAAAGCTGTTAGCTTCCAACCTATTTTTTAAGTAAAGCTAGCTACATCTATTTATCGGAGCGATCTCGTATAATTTTACTATCAAGGCTTTGAAGGAGATGGATATAGCATAAAAATTTGAATCGATAAAGTTTTAAAATAGGAATCGATACACGCAAGCATGTATCGCGTATCGTATCATCAGTAAAAATGTATCGATGCATCGATACATTCGCGTATCGCGACACCCCTACTGATAACTATCCTACAACATTACTGGTAGTTATCATACATTACTGATAATTATCCCACAACATTACTGGTAATAATTATACTGACTGACTGACTGAGTTCGGTTTTACGCCGCTTTTAGCAATATTCCAGCAACATCACAGCGGGGAACACCAGAAATGAGCTTCACACATTGTACCCATGTGGGGATTCGAACCCGGGTCTTCAGCGTGACGAGCAAACGCTTTAACCATTAGGCTACCCCACCGCCCTAAGAATTATACATTACTGATAATTATTATACATTACTGATAACTATCCTACAACATTACTGGCAATTATCATACATTACTGGTAATTATCATACATTACTGATAACTATCCTTTCCATAACCTTTCACAGAAAATGTATATA